CCCCCTCCCCTAGGTGACTAGTTATTGTAGAGAGCAATGCTAGATCTGCAAATGTTGTAAACAAGTTCTTGCCAAACCAATCCCTTCCTTTTGATGTTGCCGCAGGTCGCTGCTTATGAGGGTGCAAACTTCTTGGCTTGTGCTCGAACCCTTTTCTCATATTCCACTCTGTTTTGGCTGAGGAGGTCAAGAGAGAGACAGGTTAGAATAGCCTGGGCTGGTCTAACCAGTGACCAGCAGTTTTCTCTCTCTTCTGTTTGAAACAGCATTAGTGATTTTGGAGAGAAAATATGGATTGCTCATCTAGTCTTCAATAACAGACACATCTGGTGGGTTTTCCCAGGGGACTCAGTCCCGAGTGTGAAGGTATGGAGGGGGGGCAGCTTTCTGGTGGTCGGGGGACCTCAGCTGGGACTCCAGTGTGAGATGAGCTGCCAAGGGAAGGGGGCTGGTGGGCACTGCCCTAGGCCAGGGAAGTGCAGCAAACTTGCCATCAGAGGAGACCAGCTGCCACCAGGGGATCACTGTGACCTCGAGGCCCTTGGGTACACGATGCATTTATGAACAGGGCTCCTTGACACACCAGATCAGAGGTCTCATCAAATACTTCAGGGGCCGGTCAGGAGCCCTCCTTGGAGCTCAGGCACAGTGTGGGCACTCATACCCTGATAAGAAAGCCAGGGCTCCTTCCAAGCTGTGCTCGCAACAAGTAGGCCTCAGAGCACTGGTCCCTGCCCACGGCGCAGGCCCAGGGTTGGCACAGAGGGGCCAACAGAATTTCTCTTAGCTCTGCCCAGTGCAGACCACAGGCCCTGGTACCCCAGGCCTCCTCTCCAGCCTCTCTGGGGAAAGGCTGCAATGCCAGCACCAGGAGAGGCGGAACTTGCCTGGAGCCTGCCCTGAGCTGGCATGGTGCCCAGGTGCACACAGTCCCAGGAGGCCAGTGTCAGCACCACGCCTGGCCGAGAGCCAAGAGTGAAGGCCAGAAGACAAGCTTCTACCGCCAGGCCGTGCTGCGAACAGTCTGCACTCCTGTGCTTCCACCCTGGCTGAGGTCCCAGACCCCCAGGGTGGAGGCAGCTAGCTAGGAGGGCTCTGGAAGGAGCTGGAGGCAATAGCAGAGGCAGCCCAGTCCAGCCCTGCCATTTACCCAGCGAGGTCTGGCACAGGGTGTCTGCCCTAGAGCACCTGCCCGTGTAGGGCACACCCTGCGACCTTCCGAAAACACAAGAAAAGAGATCTGGAAAAAGAGATTAAGCATATTTCACAGAAGGTGCTTTTAAACATGCTTACAGGATAAATGATGTCTCATTCCTGTGAAGCAGTGGATGACGCCACCTGGCATGTAAGGACCCGTAGGACAGAGGAGATGCTCCAATCCCGAGTCGGCACCAGCTGGGAGCATCCACTGGCACACAGCAGTGCCCGCTGACCCCATGCTGCGAGTGCCGCAATCCCACAACTCAACAGTGAGCGCCATGGCAGACGGGGCTGTGGGCCAGTGGCGCGCCATCAAGACACATGCACAACTCGCCCAAGGATCACACCCACACGGCAACACACCAGGCCTGGCAAGCTCTCTCTAAGGCCAGCAAGAAGACATTTTGGCTTTGTGGGCCTATCGCAATGGCTCAGATACTAAGGACCCAAGTGGCCCTATTTACAGAGGCGCAGGCTGACATGGCCTGATGCAGACAGATGCTGCAGTGCAAACGACACAGCATCCAGTTCAAGGGCCAAGATATGAGAACTCCTGGAGTTGCCGATGCACAGCAGCCAGTAAATTTAAGGCGGCTCCACTGGAATCACTCACAGCAATTCCTCGGGCTGGGAGGAGAAACTCCGCCCCTGCCCAGGACCGGCTTGCCACTCTTGGCCACCAGGGGGCGCCCCGGGCCAAAACTGGGCTGGACCCAGGAACTTGAAGCCATATGGGAGGGGAGGGGGCACCTCTTGCAACCTGGTGCTTCTCTTCAGAGGAACTGAGGCCACCTGAGCTGCTCAGAGAGGCCTACCTGCTGCAATTCCAGAAACGGCCCCTTGGAAAGAACAAGCCCCTGCTCAGCCTCTCCCTGTGGGTCAGGTTTCTGAACATGGGCAAGTGGAGAAATAGGGTCAAAGCTGCCCATTCGGCGTAGCACCCTGCCTAGGCCAGGTCCTCCCCACTGCCCACCCAGCCAGCCCCACGTGCCAGGTTTAGCGCCATTGCTCACACTAAGAAACACAGGCCCTCTTCCAGAGCACCCAAATGACCAAGAGCAAGTTGGGAGCGCCACTTCCCTAGCGGGCCATCTCCTTGGACCTGCCATACCAGGCTGGGCCCAAGGAGGGCAGAGGTGGGAGGTCCATGGCCTCTTCCTCCAGTGTCCACACCCTTCCCTTTGAGCTGAAACGGACTCCAGGAGGCACAGGGTTTGACTGGCGATATCCCATCAGGGGCAAAGTAGTCCAGTAGGAGCCCGTGCCATCGGGCTGCTGCCTGCCAACCCCCACCAACACAGCTCTGGCCACACCAGCCCTGGCCGCCCATCTTGCCACCATAGGCCCTGTGCACATGCAGCAGGTCCTCCTCGGAAGCCTCCCTGGTCACCCCAGTCCCCCCTTTTCGGCACCGACCCAGGTGAGCTGCCAGGTGAGCTTGTGTGCAGGCCGCCCTCTGAGGCTGCTGGGAAGGTCAGGACTATCCACCCGCCCACAGCTTGCCTACTGCTCCCCTTCCTACAGGCAGCCTGGCTGGGACTTCTGGGGCAGGGGAAGGCTGTGCGAGCTGATGAGGTCACAGCAAGAGGGGCCAGATCACTAACCAGTAAATTGTGTAGGCCTCTGCTTGAGCTGGATCTTGAATATTTGGTTCATTTAGAAGTTCCTGTATTCCTAATAAGATCTGTGTGAGAGAGAAAAACAAAGCAAGGTGGGAGGTCAGCAGTTCAAAAAGCAAACTCTGGTCCTGAAGGAAGGCTGAGGCGAGGCCCTCACGCTGCATACCTGCTTAATTGTGATGGCTGGCCTCCAGTCCTTGTCTTCCTCGAGGATGGACAAGCACACAGTGCCCGAAGGGTACACGTTCGGGTGAAATAATGGTGGTTCAAATTTGCCTAGACCACATGAAAAGGAAATGTATTTTGGTGACAGCTGTCCTACAGAATGTCCTGTCCTGATGACCCCTCCCCTTCCCCTCTCATCTTCCCTGCACCTTGGTGGTCATCAGGCATTTCCCAAAAACTGTTTACAAAAACAAAACTGGCCACAAGGCAGGAGGAGGTGGGAACAGGTAGGAAAGGAGCAAGTGTGCCTGCCACTGGACTCAGAGGTAGAGCCACAGCACTCCCCAGGACCTGCTTCAGGACAGTGAGAGCACAGTCCCAGGCGGCCTCCCCAGCCGGTCTGGGCTTGGGAAGATGGGAAGGGGCTGCTGCTGCAGGTGACTAGGTCCTGGGGAAGCAGCCAAGGTCCTTCCAAATGAGAGTTTATTTTCTTTTTAAAAAATTAACACATGCAAAAAGTTTGAAAATATAAAAGAACAGGAAAAAAAATTGCCATGAGCACTACCCAGGGACCATTAACCACAGCTGACATTTTAGCATTATTTCTTTATCCTTTTTTCTGAGTACTTTCTCTTTTAAACATTAATTTTACCTAGAAAAATGTAGCAAGTCTAGTACAACCTGATGAATTACTGACAAAAAATAAATACAATCCACTAACAGCAGCAGCTTCTCAGAAAACTCCCTCACAGATCGCCCACTCCATTTGCCCAACTAAGCCAACCTGTAATCCCAGAAAGGACATCTTGAACTGTCTGCGCACAAACCAGAGGCTCCCCCCCGCCTCTCCCCATGGGTCATGTCCCCTCACAGGCGGTGGCATTTACTCGCTCCTGTTGCTGCGCAGCAGCCCCTGGGAGACTGGCCACACACAACTTGCCCACCTCACTGCAGGTGCACATGTGAATGAATACGAATACAGCCGTGATTGCTCCTGGATGTGAATTCTGGTGCACACATGTGCATTCCCATGTGGAAATGCTGGACCACAGGGTATCTGTGCTGAATGTGGATAGATACTGCCAGTTTCCAAAGTGGCTGTACCTACTTACAACTCACTGCTTCACAGTATTGCCAACACCTGGTGTATCAGCTGTGGACTTTGGCCATTATTATTATTTTTTAAAAATATATATTTTTATTGATTTCAGAGAGGAAGGGAGGAGAAAGATAGAAACATCAATTATGAGAATCAATGATTGGCTGCCTCCTGCACACCCCCTACTGGGGATCGAGCCTGTAACTCAGGCATGTGTCCTTGACCAGAATCAAACCCAGGACTCTTCAGTCCACAGGCTGACACTCTATCCACTGAGCCAAACCGGGCTGGGGCCCAGACTCGGCCATTCTTAAATGAATCGTGGTTGCCTCTCATGGCTCTAAGTTGTATTTCCCTGATGACCTCTGGGAGTGAGCACCTTTCATTTACTGGGATAACCTGGCTACTTCTTTGGAGAAGTTCTTGTTCAAGTCTCTTGTACACTTTTCTATTGGGTTGTCTCATTGATTTATAGGAGCTCTTTACATATTCTGGATACAAGTCTCTGTCAATTACATGTCTCACAGATATCTTCTCCCACTCTGAATTTGCATTTTTGCTCTTTTAATTGTACATTTGGTGAACACAAGTTCCTAATTTGAATTTAATCTGATTTATTGATCTTGTTTCTTAGTTAGAAAAGTGTACCAAACGCCCTGACTGGTTTGGCTCAGTGGATAGAGCGTCGGCCTGCAGACTGAAGAGTCCCAGGTTCAATTCCGGTCAAGGGCATGTACCTTGGTTGCAGGCACATCCCCAGTGGGGAGCGTGCAGGAGGCAGCTGATTGATGTTTCTCATTGATGTTTCTCTCTATCCCTCTTCCTTCCTCTCTGTAAAAAATCAATAAAATATATTAAAAAAAGAAAAGAAAAAAAAAGTGTACCAATGATGAATACTAGCATTCCCCAAGCCCCCCAGCCCCACCTCCCTGTCTCTTCTGGCTTTCTTCCCTATAAAGCCACCTCCTGACTCCGCACATCATTCATCGCATGGCCTGTTGACCTTCATAACAGGACTCCAGCATACGCTCCCTCTGTGTCTGGCTCTCTCCACTCAGCATCACGTTTGGGAGACTCACTCCTGCTGAGCACTTGCAGATCCCTCATTCTTGCTGCTGCACTTGCCCGTTCTATTCTGAATGGGCACTTGGGTTGTCTCCAGCTTTCGGCTTTTACAGACAGAGCTGTCATAAACACGCTGCCCATGCCTTTTGGTGGCCATGTGTATGCATTTCCATTGAATATTCACTTGAGTTGAACAGCTGGGTCCTAGGGGAGGGATAAGTTTAGCTTCAGCAGACATGGCAGACAGCTTTCCAAAGGAAATGTTCAAAATTTACTTTCTCTAGTGCACCTCCGTGGGCCTCTGCTGCTCGGCAGCCTGTTCTCTGCCTGTTCACTCTGTGGCTGTAACTTGTCATTCTCCGGTAAGAAATTACACATCTCTTTCTGTGCTGATTGGCCAGGTGGAGAAACTCGTGCCAAGGGCCTGTTCCATCAAATGGTTGTATTTTTCTTACTGATTTGTGGAGGCTCTTGATATATTCAGTGTAAGTATTAATATATAGATATAATTTTCTCCCCTCTTCTCTGTGGTGTCTTTTGGTGAAGAGATGGTCTTTTTTTTCCCCCCAGTGTTCAACCTTCTATTAGACTCCGCCTCTCGGAGGAGCCCACTCCCGTGGGTGGGGTGTTCTGGGCAGGGCAGGGGGGGCTCTGTCACCCTGTCCTTGGGAGGACCGTGTGTGGTGAGGTTCGTGAGTTTGTGGCAGTGTCTGGGAAAGGGCTTCATGCCCCGTGGGGTGCACCTGAAGTGGTGCACAGGGCCCTTCCTGGGGGGACAGCCGGGGATGGGCAGGCAACAGCTGAGCCTGGGCTCTCCCTTGGGGCCTTCCCTTGGCATCTTCAGGCCCAGCTCCCTAGGTGGTCCTTTCTTGGAGGGTCAGTGGGCACACCTGCTCACAGTGGCTGTGTGATCCTTGCCTGGCACTGCCTCTCTGGGACTGTTTCCTCCACTGGGAGCTGGGCCTTAATCTCTCAGAGGGAGGCTCCCCTGAATGGGTTCCCTGAGCATGAGGAGGTGCAGATTGTGTGTGTGTAGAGCAGGTGACTGGGACAGGGGCCTGGACATGGGGGCCTTGGGAGGCCTAGTTGTCTTTGTCCTTGGCACCGTGTTTGAGGATGCGGTGAACTCCACGTAGTTGAAGTTGCCTTTCTTGACAATGGGTGCCTCACGGTACATCTCGTCCAATTCCTCGTCTGTGAAGCAGTCACCCATGGTGGTGAGCAGCTCATGGGTAAAACCTGAGGCCTCTTCGTCGAAGCAGGCAAAGGCCTTGTGGGTCACGTCCTCGGGGCCCATGCCATTCAGTGTCTCCCCAAATGCCGTCAGGAACATGGTGAAGGTGATGGGCCCAGGGGCCTCGCTCATCACGCCCTCCAGGTACTCCTCCGTGGGGCTCTTTCCCAGGGAGGCCAGCAAGTCCTCCTTGTCACTGAAGCCATCTCAGTTCTGGCTGATCATGTTGAAGGCCTCCTTAAACTCCTGGATCTGGGACTGGTCAAACGTCACAAAGACATTGGATGTGGCCCGCCGTGGCCGCTTCTTGGTGGTCTTGACCTTGGCTCGCTTACTAGACACCTTGGCTTCAGGTGGGTGGGGCTTCCCTGGTGCGGAGAAGGTACTCTCTCGGTGCGCAAAGCTGGTGCAGAGCCGGGTCAAGAGACGGTCTTAATGTCAGTGTAGTCCAATCGATCATTTCCCCAGAGGGGAATGAAAAGTGAAAAGCACTTTTCATGCTTTCCTGGTTAAGAAAGCTCTGCCTATCCAAGTCATGAAGACATCCTCCTGTCTTCCTGTCCCACCCACCTTCTCACTGGGCATCACAATCCACCAGGAAGGCTCTGGTCTAATAGGGGGAAACCAAGCTCTCCTTATTCTTCCACTAGGACAGTCGGCTGTCCGTCCACGCATGAGACCATCTTCTCCCCACGCACTGCAGTGTCACCTCTCCTAAGTCACTCCATTGTACACCTGCGTTTTTCTGGACTCTCTGCATCTCAACCGGATTCATGTCTTGCCTGTCCTGCTAACGGGTCTGTACGTTTTACCCAGTGAGCCCCAACTTAGGCCTCACCATCCTCCCCTCCTAGAACTCCAAGGGCCACAGCAAGTCTTGGCACTCTGCATTTCCTACATTTTATAGCCGGTGGTGTGACAATTTCCACAAAAATCTGCTTGGGTTTTGATTGGGATTACACTGAATTTGTACATCAGCTTGGAGAGAACTGACATCTTCCTATCAGCGTGCCTTCTCAGCCGTAAACCTGGCCATCTCTGGCTATTTAGGCTTTCCTTCCTTCTCTCGTAAATGTTCTAGTTTTCAGTATAGAGGTCTTAAATGTCTTATTGGATTTACTCCAGGGTACCTGATGCTACTATAAAAGGAATAGTTTAAAAATGTTCATTCGTAGCCCTAGCCAGTTTGGCTCAGTGCATAGAGCATCAGCCTGAGGACTGAAGGGTCCCAGGTTCGACTCTAGTCAAGGGCACGTGCCTGGGTTGCAGGTTTGACTCCCGGCCCCAGTCGGGGTGCGTGTGGGAGGCAACCAATTGATGTGCCTCTCTCACATTGATATTTCTCTTTCTCTCTCTCCCGCTCCCTTCCACTCTCTCTGAAAATAAATGAAGAAAAAAAAATGTCCTTGGGTGAGGATTAACAACAACAACAAAAAAAACACACGCAAAAACTTTCATTTGTTGCAACTGTATGGAAATGGGTTTTTATATGTTAACGTTTTATTCAGCAACCTTAATAAACAGACTTAGAGAAAGATGGTCTACGGTGTAAGCCTTCCTTTTCCATTTCTCTGCTGGGATTTCTTTTTCCTACCTTGCTACATTTGCTTAGAATTCCAATACAATTTGCATAGAAGTGATGAAAGCAGCTATCTCACCTCTTATTTAAAGTAATACCTACACATGACACACACACACAAAATTCAAACAGCAAAGAACCACTCCAAATGAAGTAAGTCTCCATCCCAGTGGTTACGTTATGAATTGATAATTTAAGTAAGTCTTCTGCTAGATGCTATTTTAATGAGAAACATACTTCTATCTCTTAAATCACTAACCACGAGTTAACATGTAGTCTTGCCTTCCCACATGCTGGGCACTTCCCGACAGACTGAGGCGCATGTCAACGCATTCAATTAACTGGCTGTGGACAGTACCTGTTGATATCTAGCTGCCAAGGGGGAGAGATTTGGTGCCTTCTCCCCCTCATCCTGAGTTTTGTGAAACTGCATCATGGTCTACCAGTGGCCGTTTTAAACATGGCTGTGGCCTTTTCTTCCTGCCGCCTTCTGTTGGCTTACGTGTGCCATCCACCCAGGCTGCAGATGCAGGCCCGGAGTTGGGTGTGAAATTCTAACAGATGACAGGTCACAGCAAAAAAATTCCTCTGAGGAGTAAGGTTCTGAATGTGCTTTTCCTGCATGTCCATCCCCCTCCGGGGCAGGTATGTTGTGGCCTCATCCCTGACAGGCACTGAGGGTTCAGGAGCCTCCCCTGGATCTCATGAACATTCATGCGAGGGCCTGGAGCCTCCCAGGTGTAGAGCGAAGAAGACTGGAGACTTGGTCTGTTAGGTGCACCTCCCACCCTGGGGCTAGAAACACTCAGATCCACAGTCAACCGTAAGGATCAGTGTGATGGAGCCACAGGGATCAGAGCACCGGGGCCACCCTGTGTGGAGCAGTGTGCAATAACTGCACACCCGGAGGCCGGGCTCTCTGAAGAGGACTCAGATCTCTGCTGGAGCACGATCAAAGCCAACCTTTGAGGACTTCGTTGTACTTACATTTCGGAGGTGAGGATGGATAGTCATCTTTGAAGAGCATGCGTAGCTTAAACAAGCCTCCTTCCCAAGGGGTCTGTTGGGAAATGAAGCTGTGATGAGATGTGTGCCGCCTCTTGCTGCAGAGGCCCAGGAGAGGGGCATGCTGCTGCTACACGGCCCGTGACCCTGCCCACAGCCCAATGACCCCACAACAGGACTGGTGGGACCTCCATGAGCCCTGAGGGCCAATGGGAAAG